ACTGTGAAACAAATTAACTAATATATTACAATTATTGTGGCAAGAAATGATAGTTAAATAAAGATCTGGAAAACGGGCTATTACGTTTAAGTTTTAATTATGAAGTGATCTTGGTTTTTTTTTGTTATAATTTCATATTTAAAATTGTGAACTTTTAGGTAAGTATTTAAACCTACATTAGTCATTAGGTATTATACTTACAAAAAGCGAGTCGTCAAATGGTATGGTAGTCGTAATGTTTCCTTTGATTTCTGTCACATTGGATTTGGGATTTTGGACCAGGTAAAAATTAATTTGTAATTTATATTCTTTTGAAGCATCGCACATCTGAATCTGCTTGAAAATTATTTTGAATGGACCCTAAACAGAAATTTTCGAATGGATTAAACAGGTATGAAGCAGTGTTGGGTAAATAATTTTTGAAAAGTAGTAAAATTACGTTACCTACTCATTACATTAAAATTATTGAAATTGAAATTTAATGCGAGTTACCCAACATTACTTTTATTATTTAATGTTACATTTTTCAATTGAAAGTAGGGCGTTACATACTTACAAATAATGTTACTTTTTGAGATAAATCGGTCCGTAACGACCAATAAGCATTATATTATTTCCACGATGTATTTTTGTATTCTTTTTCATTATTTTTATTGTACTTAACTATTATTATTTTAAGATTTTTTTTAGTGCTTCTGTATATACATAATACATTTATATATATTATATATAAATATTGTTGCAACATGAAGTATTTGTTTTTTCCTAGTTGTATTTGCATTTGAATTGGGTAAGCCCCGTATTATATAGGTAAAATACATGAATAGACATTATTGTTTATTATTAGTTAATACTTTTGAAATCATAAATATGTTTTATTGATTATTTATTTTTCTCGAATATCATAGCCCCTTTTTTTGTCATACACTCTACTTACACTATAAAAGTAATTAAGTTTATAATAAACTTATTAATAATGCTGACTTCCCAATATAACAGATAGCGTTCTAATATATATAAGAATTAATTTAATTTATTATTTTTTTGTATATTATGTAATATTTAGTTAACATCGTAATCGTTGTCGTCTTCGTCAAATGGTAACGACGCAACCAAAAGTAACCACAAATTACCCCTTTTTTTTCTTCTATGGAAAGGAGAGGTCGAACCTCTATTTATGCCACTAATTGTAACACATATTAGTAAAATATTATTATTACTCCCTAATGAAATAAATAGATACCATATTAATATATTATTACCTATAATTTTTATTTTTTATTTAAATTATTTTAGATTTATTCGATATTAATTGAGTTGAAACATGTTAATTTACTAGACAATTGTTTAATTATTGGAAGTAGATCCTTTTGTAAAGATTTTTATTATAATAGTATTTTTACAATCATCTTAGCTAAAAGTACCATGGATTGAAAATAGTGTGTTTTACTTTTGGTCTAACTCAATACTCAAACTTTGATAAACTATATTTTGTTTACGAAATATAACTACATCTTGAAATATTTATGCATACAAAATGCTATCATTCATATTTGTACTTATTAAGTCCATTTTCTTAACATTATTTCAATGTCAATACCTAGTTTAATACACAGATGAAAATTACTATTTCTATAAAACTTTAAAAAAAATACCAATTGTGCGTTTTTCGAAATTCGCTGATGGGTTATTAAACATTATAATCACTTACGAATGGTAATGAAGAGAAAATATTAAAATTTCTCGATCCAATACACGATATTGAAGTCGATTGGAACAATAACACTGTTAGTA